TCTGTCAATATGGGGTGCTGTGTGTACATTAATGAGGAAAAAATGAACTTAAATGATTTTAGCATATGGCTGCAATATAACAAAGAGTGGAAAAATTTAAGGGGGTCTGAATACTTTCCGTACCCACTGTAAGTCTAACACTAAATATTTATGCGATTAATTCACTACAACTTTCATTACATAGTTCCCCTGTTTTAATATATTTTTATAGTGTTCTTCTTTACCACCTCTTCACACCATGAATTACAGGACTAACTTCACATTATTGTAGTGATTGTATTGTAATGTTAGCACAAAAAGAGAAGGAAGATAAGTTAAAATGTATAACTAGAGTGTATAAGATGCTTAAAAATAGGGTTGATGCAGTAGGTTTGGTTCTGGATCTGCTGACTCACAGGAAACAGCAGCTGAATGCAAAAACTCCACACTTCCAGATGTTTTATTCACAGCTCTCTAGACCTCTATCATACCACACTACCTTAACATACAGGTACAGTTTCACATTTCATTCCACCATGTCCTGTTCCATTAATCTTGTATGTACATGTAATGAAAATGAGTCATGGCAATAATGAAGTTTCTCTTTCATGCTACAATGTCCTCTAATGCATAGTTTGGACCAAAGGGCTTCATGTCTCAGCCCTTCATGTGAAGAATCATTTTGTTTCTTCTTTGGTGACTGAATGCACAGCTGTGGGCGCCACAGCGTTCATGAGGGTAAAGGTTAAAAACAACGAGAGGTTCACAAGTGATGTGCAAGAGTCTACCACCTAATGCACGTTACCCTGATTCAGAAACAGCCCCCTGCTGGTCTCGACTCGAGCCAACCTGTAGATGATTCAGAAAGTGGATGATTGGCAATTATCTCATTCTCTGTGAGGACAAGTCCACAGTGACAAATGTACTTTCTTAATACAGCCTTTAACTGTGTCCCTGTGCAGTAAACCTACTCTGTATCAGTCCATCTGAACAATGTCCACGTTACAGTATATTTCATGCCATTTAAATGCTTCTCGTCTTCTCTACAATCTCTTTTTTTTTAGATCCATCAAAGCATACATATTGTAACTATCTCATACAATTAACAGCTATGAAAACAGCTCTTCCTGAGAAAGATATGTAATTGATAAGAGTTTCAGTTCTTCTTATACAAACAAAATAAGGCAAGTAAAGATGATCTGATCATGTTTTCTGCCATGTGGCCTCTGATGTTTTTAAAAAACAAAAAAGGTGAAATTTCTGTTCAAGTGTCTAAGCTCAGAACCAGCCTCTTCTTTCAGTCCATATCAATCCAAAAACTCAGAGGAACGAGAGCTCAGTATTGCACAGTCCCACAATCCAAGTGTTCCCATTGGAGAAAATATGAGATTGTGCTCATGTGGCGCAATTATTTGTTGATGGGAAGCCCTTAAAAAGTAAAGCTGCAGCCAGTTTGAGCTTCTCTCTGCCTCCTGTGAGGTTGGGAAAATGTAAGACGACAGGCATGAAGAGCATTGAGGGGTGTTTTAAAGTCTAACTTTCACCTTATGGACAGGACTTTTTATATCTTAGGAAACATCTTAAAAGACTTCTCTGCTTATTTTGTTCCACTGGATGCCAAACTGAGCCAGGTTTCCCAAGAGAAATACAGCACCAACAAATTTGTGCTCATTTGTCGTCATTGTTTTTCATCACTAAAGAGTAAAAAATACCAGTTTATAATTTGTGTGGAGCTAACACTGTTTCACTACCACCAGAGCTCAGCTGCAGAGGACCCAGCTGGTCTGCAGCTGTTTGTGCTCCCTCAGCAAGTCAACATGTAGGACATGAAATAGCTGCTCACACCGACAGGGTGACTATTGGGTGTCTCAGTTTCTTCAGTTAACATCCCTTCACTGAGTTTTCTCCCGGGTCCACTTGATCATAGTCTCTGGTGAGCGGTAAAGGAAGATGAGCTTGGCGTACATGTCCTCCTCTAGGTCCAGCTCCCCCGTCTCTCGGACCAGGAAGATGTCGGTGCACAGCTTGAGGATGCGGTCCACATTGGGCAGCTCTTCGAACATGATGGTGTGAGAAATGCCACTGAAGAACTCGCGCACAAACTTGCCGATGACCAGAACCACAGAGGCATACAGGCCCATGATCCTAGACAAAGAGAGAGGATAGAGCATTCAGCTTTGGTTTTATTAACATCTTAATTGTTCAGTTAGTAAGTTAGTAGTACCTTTACTATCACTTGCCCACAGCACCACTATCGCACTGATTGTACAGCTCTGGCTAACAACATTTCACTATACCTCAAATGTAAAATGTTGTTTTGAATGTAAACACACATTTCACTGAAACGGCACTGGAGGACAAATCTTTTTTTAAACCACGTACCCGTATCCAGCCAGAAAGCCCAGACTGGGCGGGCTGACCTTGTCACTGAACACATAGACCTCCAGACATGGATCGCATTTTTGAGTCTTTATTTCTATGGGGCCCGGCTCTGTCTGGCTGACGATCCACCACTCCTGTGTTTGATTCGAGACACTCCCAGCACTGTTCAAGGCCAGGGTTATGTCCAACAACTTCTTATCTACAAAGGCCAAGAATTAAGTTATGTAATGTAATCTGAATGAATGAAATGGACAACAGTGCAAACTATGTCACATTAAAGAATAACAAAAACAGAAGACTGGTAAACATTTACCAAAAAAACCAGAGGCTCCTAAGTTTACTTTACCAAATCAAGTAATAACTACACAAAAGTCACAGTTAGTCCAGTTTACACAGTGATAATGATGGTGACCTTTATGAAGCTGCTCGACAGGCTTGGCATCTCCGCTGCTCGGGGCTTGAATGTAACGAGGGAAGATCTCTTTTAGGGTCCTGTAGAGGAACAGAGGCTGTTACTGGAGCAAAACACTCTGTTACACAGTCAGGTTCTCAATATGCTGGATGAAAAAGACACAGTTTTTATACTTTTGTTAAAAGACGGACTTGTGATTTTATATTATGGTATAATGCGGTTCTTGTATTAACTGTTCAGCTCATACCACTCGCTTCTAAAGCTATAAATATACCATTAAAGCTCATTAACAGCTGCATCAAACACATTTCAACTCACTTTAAATCCACAAATTGTTTTAACTTTTCTGTGTGTACAGATTAAACAAAGATATAACGTATTATTTAGTGAGTGTCAACTAAATTACTTTGTTTTTATTATTATTATTATCTAGAGGCCTGAAAATAACAAGCTGTCAAATTTCTTTTTGAGTTGTAGAGGAGGAGAGTGTATCGCCTGTGACTGACTGATGTGAAAGTTCAGCTCTTGACCATGGAAAAGTGTAAAGGTGCAGCTGATATACTCACACTTCTGACTTTCTATCTGTCCCCTTTAGCAGCTTGCTGAGATTTTCCTTTGTGTCTTTGTCTAGAGACGTCACTCGTTTTCCAGACACTGTTTCTGACTTGGCACCAAGACTGGCGTTTCTGAGATCAAAAAGGAAAAACCACATAATTATTTTTCGCAGGCATTTTTTGGCCTTTATTTATTATTTACAAAGTGTGCCATGGAGAGGCAGACTGGAAACGGGAGACAGAGGAGAGGACCTACGACAAAGGTCAGCAGTTAGACTCGAACCACCGTGTGCGGTGCTCTACCGTAACTATTCAGCTATCGGGGCGCCCCACATACATTAAACTTAAAGAACTTTACATCATGAAACTGTGGCTTTCTGTAAGCCTGTATTTTAAATATGAAAGATTGGCAGATTATAAAAATAATTATACGAGTAACTGATTCTGACAGATAAAAGTGTGTGCAAGCAGCCCTTTAAAAATTGACCTGCAGGTCAGTTCATTTTCATAACATCAATTCTCAACTGAATCATATTTCTTTCTTTCTTATACAGAGCAACAAACAGACTGATAGACAAAAAAATAACATCTGGCAACAAACAGACTGATAGACAAAAAAAATAACATCTGTCACAAAAATATGTGATATTTAGTCTTTGACATTAATGCAGGACAGTGTGAGATGTTAGACAACACATATTGTCCTTATCCTATCTGTGTAGGTGTGCAGCTACACAGCCGGCTAAATACACTTCCAATGAAGTTGGAAGATAGAGGAGCTGGTCTTTTAGCAGACAAAACTGTGAAAACAGTATTGGAATAAATACAAATTCAGTGGGTGTTACACTGTGTGGTGGTCACTGACTATAGATTATTATTTGTCATCACTAAGTGTCATATAGTTACGGTACTGTAGGTGTATGTATTGCATGGTCAATATGAACCATGAATATCTGGTAACATTTTGTACCTTTGCACAGACCAGGACACGGTGATGGGGAAGTCTTCTCCTTTCAACATCTCTATCAGGGTGTTTCTGCTGGGTGGGCTGATCGTCCACAAAGAGTTGGAGCTGCCTTTCAGCTCGGCGATAATCAAATCCTCTGCCGCGTAGCTGTCCAGCCACTGCTTGGCTTCCTAACCCCGGCACAAAGACACATAGTAAGAGCTGAACAGAATCTCACTGAACCATTTTACACTGATAAATAGATACAAGATGTTTTTATTTAGCACCATGGCTCTAGGAATGTCACAGTCTGTCAAGTGGTCGGCTAACCACTTTGTTCAAGACTGAAATATTTAAGCAATTATTGGATTGATTGTTATAAAGGTTTGTACAAACATTAATCAGTAGTCTCCAGAGGATGAATCCCACTGACGTTTGTGATTCCTTGAGTTTACCTCAAGTGCCAGGTCAGTGTTTTCATTTACTCTGAGAGCTACCCACAGTAAGAATCTGCTTGATGAATAAGTACAGTTTCAGGTCCTCATCAGGATGGATTCTGTTGACTTTGGAGATCTCCTAAATTTTTCATTAGTGCCACTGTGAGGCTGACATTTGTGGCTTTGAATGAAATGTCTTGACAACTATTAGAAAGGTTTCATGACATTAGGTAGACATTCATGTCTCTCCCAGGATGACTTCTAACATCTGTACTCATCCTCTGACATTTCATCTGCTGCCATCATCAGGTCAAAATGATAAAATTCCTATTTTATTGTTCCTTGATCCTCACTCGACCCAGAAGTCATTCCGATCCACCACGATGAAGGACATCTCAAAGCTCTTGTTTCTGCTTTGAGGAGTGAGGACCCAGGAGCAAGGAGGCTGCCCGAAGGTGTGCATCCTTCACGGATGTTTGTTACAGATCGATACGTATCGAAAGTATCTTCTAATCTTCTGGGAAGTTTGTCAAGTAAAGACTTATCTTCTCTGGCATGTATTTACTGCCTTGTTCATACTTGGAGACAAAGCATTTTGGATTATATAGGAACTAAAACCTGGTGGAAGCACCATGGTCATGTTTCTTTTTCACCACAGTGAAATAAAAAAAACATTTTAAACACACAGGCACACTGTAAATTCATCATACTGTTAGGAATATTTGTTTTTTTATCAAAAGAACATATTAACTCCAATCATGTATTTGCACTGTACTTCTTTTACTTACATGGTTATCCTCATGGCTCTTCACAAACGATTTGCACTGTACTTCTTTTACTTACATTGTTATCCTTATAATTCTTCACAAACATTGTAAAAGCAGCTGCTGAGACATTCTGCAATTGTTTTTGCTGAGCACTCATGGTGAAGATGGGCTGTGAGAAGAGGGAATAAAAAAGTCTTGGTTAAGTTCAGTACACTTGTATTATTTGTGATTCTGCAGATGTTGCAGGAGAAAGGACTAGATTTTTGTTTTTGCACAGCAGGTTACATTAATCTGTCCCAGATATATAATCAAAGAGCCAGAGGACTCACACAACCTAGAAAATATTATATTACTCTGCCTTCCTTCTCCCCTAACAGACCACCAGTAATCACACAAATTGTGCTATAGTACTTCAAGACATTGAAATAAAAACCAGGCCTTGCCTCAAAATGAGTCTCAGATTTATTTACTTCACTAAAATCTCCTTGATTTCTTCTCAAAGGAGGCAGAATTTCTTGTCACATTAAAAGTCTTTGGCTTTGGACTGAGCGTCTTTTTGGTTTCGTGTTATTTCTGTTTGGATTAGTTTCTCAGTAAAGCACTTGGCAAACTTGTTTATAAAAGCAACCATACCTGAAAGCCAGCCAGGGTGATTTCAAACGAGACATCCAGAGGTGGGTTGACCACTCCAGCTACAGACTTTACAAGAGACATGAAAAGCAGCGGGAACCAGACGATGCAAATCAGCAGCACCACAATCATCCCTCCCATCCCATACTTCACCACTTTCTTCTTCTTCTGGCCTCGTGGCTGGGGGTACCTCTGCAAAAGGATGAGATAAAGGCCAGTTTGATATAGAACTGTGTAGAGGTATGGGTAAGAGGTATTACTTGGCCAGGCTAAAGGAGTTGTTGTTTTTACACAGGAATACTGGGAAGCACAGATACAATTAATCACTGTTATTTAATATAGAGTACATTTCAGAAAGTGGGAGCTCATAAATCTCGAGGCAACACAAGCGTGAAAGAGTTTTAGAAAACGGTCCATTTCAATAAATCACAAACAGAATTCAGCCTGGAGTCCCACATGACACACACTAGACTGATGCCACAATGATAAACACCTTCTCAGACTCTCTCCAGCATTTGAGGATGAAGATGTGAGCATAGATGTCCTCCACACAGATCCAGCTGGACAGAGACAGCGAGGTGTCAGTCCAAACCCAGTCCATCACGGCTCGCAGCTCTGTCAGGAACGGCACCAGGCGGAACCTGGACACAACAGACCTGTCTTAGTTAACCTGTCAAAATAAGGAACTAAAAAGCAAGATTCAAGAGCTACGATTACAAAATCATGCTCATGAGAAGCATAATAAGCTTTGGTTTTGGTCTGCACCTGTTCAGACACTGCTACACATTGAGCATAAATGTTCTTTCTCAACCTAACTCTACGTCCCACAGTCTTTTTCCTGAGCTTTCAATAGACCTCAAGGTTTTCCTTATCACATTTAGGCCATGCAGAGAGTGTAAAACGTGGTTGAGTGCTCTAGAAAATGCTAGCAGGTAGACCTCGAGGATTTGTTTTTCAACAGATTGTTACTCAGAGAACTGGACTTGTACAAGAAACCTAAAATTTTGACAAACAGATTTAATCTGTTTGCTGATGTGTGAGCACATCAGTGTATTTCTATTCTTCTTTATTGCTGTTATTTCATTGAACTCATAAAGACCAAAAAAGATCAGCATTTAATCTTCTCTGACTGAACAAAACCTTAGTTTTTTTAGGTTTAAATATCATATGTAAGCATGCTAAAACATAGTCCCTGCTAAACATCAGCCTTGTCATTGTGAGCGCAGCATGATGACATTATTATTTAGCTTGAAGCAACTCTGTGCCTAAGCACAGCCTAACATGGCTGCTGGCATGCTTGTAGATGTAAATGCCAGTTGTTTCGTGTAAAAAAAAAAACCCATCTGTCTTTGATTTCATTTATGACGTGACAGTAAACAAGCCTGTGCTTTTGGTCTCAGATCATTTTCTGTGAAATTCAACAAAGCCTTTTACAATCAAATTCAATATGCAGGCAAGATCATATTGATGAATCTAAATGAATATGACAGTGATTTAATAAAAACTACTGGGGAGGAATACACCTTATCATTTACCCCATTACATAATCTTGTGTAGCCAGACTTTTTAGTGTATAAAAGGTCTGGGGAAGTTCAAGCACAAAGCTTGTTAAAAATGACAGTTTTATCACCGATGCAGAGGTATAAAAATTACTAACAAGAGTAAACTAAAAGGTAAAATGAGGCAGAAACCCCATCCTGACCAGGCTGCTCAAAGATGTCTTTCCCCTAAAGAACAACCCAAGGGTTCTTTTCAGCACTGTAGCCAGGCTGACAAAGAGCCACAGTGCTGTTGAGCTTAACATTCCCTTAGATCTCAGCAGCAATGACTTCATGAGCTTCTTTACAAATAAAAT